TACCCCACGGATCCTTCGCCTGAAACCGAGGGTCCATCGCCGTGTCCGGCTGGCTCCGTGGCCGAGTGTGACGTCACCGTCGGCCTGGATAACGGGGAGGCGGCGCTGCTGTTCTCGAGGAGCGACGTCTACGAGTGAGTGGTGGTGATGGTGGTGATGGGGATGGTGATGGTGACGATAGTGATGGTGATGGTGGTAATGTTTATGGTGATTATGGTGATGATAGTGATGGTGGTAATGGTGATGATAGTGATGGTGGTAATGTTATGGTGATTATGGTGATGATAGTGATGGTGATGGTGGTGGTGATTATGGTGATGATAGTGATGGTGATGGTGGTAATGGTTATGGTGATGATGGTAGTAAAAATTAGGGTGATGATGATGGTAATGATTATGGTGATGATGATGATGGTGATGGTGATGATGGTGATGGTGATGATAATGATGATGGTGGTAATGATTATGATGATGATAGCGATGGTGATGATGGTAATGATTATGGTGATGGTGATGATAGTGATGATGGTGGTAATGAGTTTGGTGATTATGGTGATGGTGATGATAGTAATGATAGTGATGGTGATGATGGTGGTAGTGATTATAGTGATAGGGATGATGATTGCAATGATTATGAAATGGGAGTGTAATGGTAATTGGAATAATGGGCGTGATGATAGTGAATAAGATGATGATAACAGTGATAATAGCAATGAAGATAATGATAACAATGATGGTGGTAATGCTAATGACGATGATGATTATAATGAGAATGATGATAACGATAATGATAATAATGGTAATGATAATGCTGCTGCTGTTGATGTTAATGATGATAATGTATATAATAAAAAAACGATAATAATAATATTGATAATGATAATGATAATGCTTATGACAATGGTAAGGAGGATAATAATAATAATTATGATAATGATAACATTGATGATAATAATGATTATAATAACCGTAGTGATGATGATGATATTGATAATAATGATAATAATAATAATGATGATAATATAAATAATAATAATGATAATAATAACAGTAATGATAGTGGTGGTAGCATTAATGATGATAATACTCCCAATAATGATAATGATATAAGGATAATAAATAATTAAGATAATAACTATGATAATGATAAGAATAGTGATAGCATTAAAAACAACGACATATATAATGATAATAATCATGATGATGGTGATGGGGATAATGACGATGACAGTGAGAGTGAAAATAAGAAAAACAGTAGAAATAACGACAAAAATGGTAATAACAGCAGATTTAATGATAATGATAATGACAATACAAACAGGAACAATATAATGATTACCTTAGCTACTGGTGTATTGTTGCCATTATGGTAACTGTCATCATTATACGTCTTACCATTTGTGTTATCGACATTGTTGTTATTGCAATTATTCTCATTGTTTTTATTATCATCGCCACCATCTTCCTCCTCCTCATCGTAATTATCATTATCATTGTTATTATTACCATTACTATTGTTGCTTTTATTATCATCACTATCATAATGCTTACTGTTATCATTATTATTATCATTATCATTATCACTATTATTATCATTATTATCATCATTATTATCATCGAAATTATTATCATTACTATTACTGTTGTTGTTATCATTATTGTTAACATTGTTATTATCATTATCATTATTATCATAATTATTGTTATCATTACAATTATCATAATTATTATTAACACTATCATCATTGATGTTGTTATTATTATCATTAATGTTATTACTATTATAATCATTATTATTGATTTCATCATCTTCACTGTTACCATTATTATCACCATTCTCATTATTGTCTACATATATATAATATATATATATATATATATATATATATATATATATATATATATATATATATATATATATATATATATATATATATATATATATATATATAATATATATATATATATATATATATATATATATATATATATATATATATATATATATATATATAATATTAATATATATATATTTATATATATATATATATATATATATATATATATATATATATATATATATATATATATATATATATATATATATATAATATATGTATATATATATGTATATATATATATATATATATATATATATATAATATATATATATATATATATATATATATATATGTATATGTATGTATGTATGATTATATGTGTATATATATATTCATTACATATCCATCTTTTGTCTGTTTATCTATAATCACGTGTTTTTTCCTTTTTTCAACTTCATTCGCTTCTATTGCATTTTCTTTTTCCTTTTTGTCCCTTTCATTTCAATGTTATCACAATTTTCTTTTCTATGTTCAATTTTAATTTCATTTTTGTTTATATCTATTTATCTATTCATATTTTTGCATTTTTGTTCTCATATTGTACAGGTATTGTGTTATGATTGCTGAATTTCAGTATAACCATTTTGAGTCGATAGTTCT